GTTTTGTCGACGACTGTGACGTGGGGCCAGTCTCTTGGCGCCACCAAGAGGTGTGTGAAGACCTCGCTCACGTCGAATCCACGTCGACGCTTGACTGATTGGGCCAGCCAGTCAATCTCTGGCTGATATCGCGCAAGCCAAGGGATGCCCAGGATGCAGTCAAACGCGTAGTTCATCTCGATCACCAAGAAGTCGTCCTTGCTACGGATGCCGTCGAGCGTGTACGACAAGGACACGTCGCCGCGCAACGCGGCGAGTTTGACTTGGATCTCGCCCGGATCATTCCGGACGCGGACGTTCTTGGGTAGTACCGACAAACACGACGCGCGAAAGAAGTTGTTGGTCGCTCCTGAGTCATGGAGCGCGCGCAGTGGTCGCCGGGCACAGGTGACGTGGAGGCTGACAATGATCAGTCTCGAGTCGCCCGGCGTAGTGGTGGCATTGGTGTGTGCTTGGAGCACGGGAGGGCTCGAAGGTTGGGCTGCCACCGGAGGGCCCGGTCCTTCGTTAAAGCCAGTAGGGCGCCCCGCACCTACTGGTCCTGGTCGTTTTTTTAATGAGCGACCGAGGAGTGCTCCGCATCGACGTGAGAGACGACGGGAGCTGGCGCGCGGCACTCCGCCGCGCGATGACCCTTCTTCCCACAGCGGAAGCAAATGAGGGAGCGATTGCTTCGCCCAGCGCTGCCGCGGTAGGACCCGCGGCGTCGATTGCTCGACGCGTTGATGGCGTCGATCTCCATGGGCTCGGGGGTAGACTCTCGGGCTTCCGCAGGTATGGCTGCGGCGTACGATGCAGCGACCATGTAATCCTCGCGAATCGCGAGTGCAAACGCCTCCTCGAGAGAGGAGGGCTCAGCTCTGGTGAGGCAGTATCGGGTCATACCCTCGCGCATGCCGAACACAAATACGTGGACTTGCGAGGCCATGTCGATTGGCTTGGTCACGATGCATGACGCCAGATGTCGCGTCTTCTGGACGTAATCACGCATGGACATCTGCCCTTGCCGCAGAGCGAAGAACTCTGCGCGAACGCGAGACTCATCTTGCGGGGGCTCGAACGCGAGGCGCAAGTCGCTCTGGAGAGTTTCCAGAGTCGGGAAAGCCTCGGGGTCGACAACCAGCTTCCCGAGGGCCCATTCTTTGGCCTTCCCGGTTAACCGGGAGAGGAGGAAGTTCATCTTGGCCGATGACGCCTCGATGCGTCGCGAGGCGATAGCGATGTCGATCTCGCGGAGCCACCGGTTTAGCGGAAGCCGGTTTTCACCGGCGCCAGAATACGTAGAGGTCTCCATCTTGACGACGTCATTCTGGGATGGACGCGAGGGAGTTGACACCCGCCGATTCGCATCGGCGAGCTCGCGTTCCATGAACTCTTGTGCTGCAATGCGTTGCTAGTCGGGCGTCGCTGAGCTCAGCAGCGATGCGACGACAGCGTCTCCGGACACCGCCACGAGGCGGTGAAGCGCTTCCCACTCCACGCGAGTGAGATGGGGGAATGCAGCATGCTCCAGGGTCGCCCCGGAGATCTGGACTTGGCTCATCGTAGACTTGGTCGTTGGAAGGACTACAAAGTGCTACCAGGTGTAACGGAGTAAGATATACCGTTACTAGCTTACACTATAGTGCGGAGGAAGCTCGCAATAATAAAACCAAGTCTTAGGTTTGTGTCAAATTCAACTCTGATTTATTTAGGACCAGGGCGGCTATACCTGGCCTCGTGTGAACCACTCAAACACATGTCTATATCTGATTGGTCAATAAGTGAGTCTGGCTCCTCACTATCAACCAATCAGATGATGACACCTTGGCACACGCTACCCGTGTGCCACTTTACCTACTTATGTAATAACTAAAGAAATATCTACCTACTTATGTAATTGGAGTTGGGCCCATTACATGACGGAGATTCTAGTGGAAACGATCGGCTTCCGTATACTGGTAGTTCTGTTGTGAGCGCAACTGGGCTTGAGGGCATCCCACTTGCCCAAAATACAGAAGAGGTGGAAACTAGCACCCAACTGGCTCATAGTAATGTGAATTTGGAATCGGAAATCCAGGCTGCCTGTGAACCGACTGCAAATTATAGTGGGGTCGAGAAGTGTAGTGATGCTGGCTCGAGTGGAAGTCGCAAGCGGGACCACGTCGAGTGTGATGATAAATTGTACTACGCTCCTCCGCTACGAAAGTACTACAAAAGCTGGAAGCATCTGGAGAAATGATTGACGCAATACCAACAGGATACTCATTCCGTGCTGGTAATTTCGGAGACACAAAATGTGCGGCTGCAAAACCTAAAGATAACGAAGATGTCGATACACATTGGCAAACCGAAGGCTGAGTTACCGCTTGTCCCAGAAGATCTGGACCCGGACCAGCGTGTGTCCATTTGTACACACGGCTGGAAAGACCGCGTCCGTTCTAAAGGCATCAGACCTCGACGAACCTTGAAGAGTGTAGGGTGCCCAATGCGATTTCGAGCCCAATACGTTCAGCTCACTGATGGAGAGTGGCGTATCGAAATCAATCAATCCTTCTACGGACACAACCATACTCTGTCAGAGGAAGTGTACAGGATGTACCCCTCAGTGCGACGAGTACCTCAACATTCTTCAATAGCGAGCGACGTGGAGCTAATGGTGGCAAGCGGCAGCAAGGCGAGCAGAATCTACATTTACATTCGTGAACGAACGCCTCATTACGTCCAATTAAAGTATGTGCACAACCTCATTGCTTGAATCAAAACGTCCGATACGACAGACCTCCTATTTGGATTTGAGCGTTTACTCACTATTCTACTGCTTAGGTGGTAGTCTAAGCGATGAAGACCTCGTGGCAGAACTTTTGGTTTGTTTCGAGCTCGAGTCTGCAGGAACCGTGTCGGCTATACTGATGGGCATAACGCCGTTGTGACTATTAGCTCGCAGCATATGCGTAAGCTGTACAAGCGTTCTCCAGAGATACTGCTCGTAGACTGCACTCACAAGACGAACAGGAGCGTCTGAAACTATGCCATGTTTCGTCATGTTTTGACCATGATTTTGTGTGATTTCAATCTTACGAGTATACGGCTTCGTTGTGTTTTGTCATGGCGTTCATATACAACTATCAACTGTGGACACTGATGGTGATGGATCAGCTTGGCCACGGCCAGGCTGTTCAGCATTCTGTACTTGAGAGAAACGCAGATTGGCACATGAAGAAGGCTGTTGAGCAATTCCAGTTAGCGAATGATTGGAAGCGTACGCAGGACTGTTGGTATAACAAAAATATGGTTACCGTGTACGGAAAGATGGTAGAAGGCCTCTACAGCAACAACACAACTATTTTGCTGCCGCCCTTGAAAACGCCGGTGCCAAAGACCCCCAGAAAGGAATACGTATTCCACCCACGACACTGAGCTTGATCTCCGCAGCCAGTTTGGGACGAAAGTTTTTGCCGCTGAATATTAACAGAACTCACTGGACCTGCCTCGTGGTGGATGGATATACGCTGGCATGGACAAGCGCGTTAACCACAACTTGCTTGCAGAGCTGGCAGATGAGATGGTGAAGATAAGTCTTTCGAAGGCTTTTAGCATCACGGCCGTGTATAGCCCCATCCAGAAAGACGGTATTATCTCCGGGGTATTTATCTGTTTGTACTTCTGGCGCCGGTTCTGGAAGGGAGCAGGCAGCAATTACACGGCCAATGGATTGCTACGCCGTCGATGGGATATCCAGCGTATCATCATGGAGTTCAGCGACGAAAACAAAGGCAAAATGATGCTAGCTGAGTAGACACAGTTTCTAAGTCCAAAAACATTCATGTTTCCATGCTTCCATGACTTCAGCAAAATCTCGCATTACAAAGGGTAGTTTGGCCATGCAATACAATAGTTGAAAAAAATCCGACAAAGCCAAAGCGCACTCCTTCTTCAATTGTCACACCCTACTGTGAATATGGTTGTACATGTCGCGCCATATCACAAACACATTCAGCATAAATTTCACGCTCCTCATAAAAATTTTTTTGAATCATGGCCAAAACAATAGTGAACTTGGCCTGACTGCGCAAAATAAATGGGTAATCAAATAAAAGGGCAGACTTTTAATACCATAAAAACAGAATATTATTTTTTAGCAAAATAGCGACCTTTGGAACAACGCTTTTCTAGATAAAATATGAACTATTAATAATTACGGATTTATTATCAATGGATGCTCCTTTATTTAAAAGCAAATACTCAAGTTGCGCATCATCTGAAAATAACATTGATACTATCGCTGCATATACATGTAGCATAAAATGCATTTACCATTAAATGGTAAAATTTACACTACAGACATTTTGTGCCTTAGACGCAACCAAGCCAAGCTTCCTCTTTCGGGTCACAGGGAAGTCCAAGTCCATGTAAAATCTCCTGTTGTCTACCATAAATCGCGGACAAGTCGATTGAGTTACACGCAATCACTTGGAAGTATAGATTCACACAAATTCCCACGGGTTCAGACTCGAACAACGGATCGCGACACTGTCGATAGAGAACGCCTCCACACACGTCTATCTGCGCTTTTAGTGGTGGCAATGCGTTAGGAATAAAGGGCGCATTCTTATCGCACAGAGCTGGCTGAGAAGCGAAGAAAACTTGGCTCTCGACGTCAGCCATAGCGATGCACCCACTGGATGGCAAACCTGCACAAACTGGATGAGACACGTCGCAATTGCCGAGAAATCCATTGCAACACAGTTGTGCCTGCCAAATCACCAAGTGCATCAACTGGTGGTTCGACGCGACCTTAGGAAGTCCGCCAAGGGAATTTAACGCCACGAGTTCGAGTCGTTGAAGCTTTGCGAGAGGCTCCAGGTCTGGTAGCGACGTCAGAGAATACAGCAGAGCGATGGACATGCTCTTGAGATTGTAGAGACCTTGAAAACTTGGCAATTGTCGGAGTAGTTGGAGATATCCCAAGTGCATAAATGTCAATGATCCCATGTTCGAGAACGCGTTCGAAGGCATGCTCACAATATTCGTCTCCCCAAACTTTCCCTGGAGATCCCTACCAAAAGGTTGAGTTAGTCTACTTCATGTTCAGGGTAACACAAACAACATCACAGCTTACAAGAACTCGAGCTTGTGAAAAACGCTGAACCAGTCCGGAATAACCTCCACCCCCGTGAAATAAATCGATCTGGTAGAGAACATACAGCGGTAATTAGTGCTCATAGTTTTGCCCTTTGGAGCGAAAAAGTCAAATCTTACGTACAGATATTCCAGATCGGTACACCGCTGAAGTTCATCCGGCCAAATCTTCATTTGGCGGTTCGTAATCTGCAGCACCTGCAAGTCTCCGGACAGTGCAAGGTCTCTGACTGTCGCTGTCACATCTTGGGGGTGCGTCCACTCTTCGTAGGTCTTTGGTGCTCTATCCACATCCACGAGAGCAAGACAGGGACAGACATCTTGGCGGTCCCAGCGATAGGCAAACGCTACGCACTGAGGGTACGCTGCACACGCTTTGCGTGACTCGAGGATACACTTATTCGTGTACACCAGCACAAAGATGCTAGCTCCCACAAACAGAGCTCCGACCCAACAAGGCACTCGACGTTGCGTTCGTAGTTTGGCCAGCTTGGCGCTCGAAGTTCGCTGACGTTTACGCCGTTGACGAATCACTTCGACGAGACGCGTCAGTCGGTAGCTGAACGAGATATTCATGGTGACTCGAATCGCCAGATCTGACCACGTTAGAGTTCGAAGCGAGTCAAAAGCAAAGCGGAAAAGCGTCGTGGCCACTGCATCCGACTGCATCCTGGCTTGTCGTTGGAAACTCCCCGGAAAATAAACTTTTAGGTAAAGTCGGGCAAGTGCACGATCGAGATCAAACGTCGTGTACGAGTGTAGCACCAAAATGATCGGACAAACCACTGCAAAGAACATGTCGAACCTGCAGCAAATGTTAGAAGTTGAACCCAATAACATGTTTGAACGAAGGAGGACGTACAGGGTGTCAACTAAAACCTCCGAAAAAGCTGTGTGCGCGACTGGAAAAAGGATGAAATAGGCCTGTGATAGGCAGCTAGATGCAATCAGCGATGTGTAGCCGTATGTCAGTGATGTGGCAAGGCCAGCTTCGAGCAAATGGTGCAGCTGGATAGCTTCAACGATAGTATCGCTGCCTTTGAAGAGCACGTTCTGGTGCAGAGGATTCCGACGTGGTAAGCAACTTTGTATGTTTGTCGATAGCTACATTCTCCTAAGAACGTACCCAGAATTTACGATAGTGTCCATGGTACCCAGTCAGTTCGATCCAAAATTCTGCAGCTTGCTGGAGACATTTACAAAGCCAAGGTGCTCTGGTGACCAATGATGGGGTGACAATATCCCATCCAGGTCCGTCCGGAACGATCCGAAAGTTGGAGTTTCTCAGCGCAGTCATCTTCAACAACACATGGACGTAGCTGGCAGCGAGAGCAGCGAGAGTAACAGCGTTCAACGTTGTGATCTCAGCTTCGGGGTCAATAATAAGCCAAAAGTGACCATCGTCGAAGTCTCTGGTGTCCATGAGATAATTTGCAGTCTCTTTCGGTCGGACGTTTAGCACGATCAGCCACACAGTCCAGCACACCGAGACGCCAGCAGCGAGGAAGAGCAAGATACCGATTGGCCCGTAGGCTTCCAAGAAGCTGTCTGGTCTCGTAGCTATTGCATCTCTCGGACCTGCGATGTGCTGATTTCTGTTTGACTGTTGAGGGAGAATGCGGATAATCGTTCCTGTTGACTGAGTCTTCGACTTGAGCTTCTGCGCCAACATAATCGACTAGCTCACACGTTCTCACACCGATGATAATGAGAGGTGCAATGATATTTTGGGGATGTACAGGAGGAGGAGAACGAGTACTACCGCTGCTATTTCAGTCTATTCGTGTGGTCATATAGTGAGTCATCGTAATTTCTACGGTATTCTTGTCGGGACAGCAGATTGTGGTTTCACCCGCTTCAAATACGAACCTGTCACTCCCCGAAAACTTCTCTTCTAGCCAGGCTTCTCAAGTGCATCAGTAGTCTTAAGTTATACACTCGTGTAATATCACTCCAGGAGTGAATACCACCTAATAGTTCACTTGTAGAAACAGCAACACTTTAAACAAATCCGAAAGGAGGGGACATCCCCACGCGGTTCTCTTCCAGGGATATTTGCAGGTGGTGGGAGCGATGAATGGTGTCCAAGTGATACTGTACATGTAGCATCCATCGCTTGAGTCGTGCGTCCAGCTGTTGTATGCAATACTGTACATGTATAACCATTTGTCCAGCTCTAAGTATCGCTTTGGTTGTTCAAAATGCAGATTTAGCCATTTCATTTCTTCTGGCTCGTTTCACCAATCGATTGTCTGCTATTTCCTTCGTTTCGAGCCGTTGTTACCAGTAATGTGGCCGTTTGAGCTGATATCTTGGAAAAATTTGAAGATCCAAAAGCTTTCGCCGCCTCGACCAGGAACTTGAAACCAAATATTACGGTAAAGCTGACGTCTTAACCGATTTTTGCGGTTTCGTGCTGTGCACACAATGGCACAAAAAACGAAAAAATCAGAAATAACATTTTGTCGGCAGCTAACCCTTGATGGTTGTAGTTTACTTCATTCATTGACTCGGGATGTCGGTGGCTGCAGCACTGGGTCCTTTCTTGGACTCGGTCTCCCTCATTGATGAGCGCCCGCTGTCGCCTTTTCCTTTTTTTAAGGTAGCGTGAGTGAGTGGAGTGTTATGAGAAGTTATTGAAACCCATCTTTCTTATTGTTTGTCCTTTTTTAAACCAAAACAACTCTTCGCCTAAGACTTGTTAGTATATAATGAGTATTATTCATGGAATATGCCTACAATACTGCAGTATGCCTGGCATTCAGACTCTGAACGACCTATATGAAGACAATGCGCGCAACTCAATATCTCGCGATTGCTGTACCAAAACAGCGCACCAGAGCCGAAAAGTGTGTGGAGCCTATCACCTGTAAATATTTCTTAATGTTGACAAAGAGCCTCGGAAACGGATCGATACTATCGACGGTAGGGCTTCCATGGCAGTGGTGAAATCTATGTGAGAATGGGATCTTCGATCGGAGATTTTTGTTCCATTTCTGTGTTGATGCATTCACAGCTACGAAGCATGTAGACGCTTTTAAACTTAATTTTACTGTATGTGAGCCTTCACAAATATCGAGGGTGCCCCACACTGAGCATCAAAGCTACGACGCTGGAAAGTTCCTGTTGTGTTTATCTGAATTGCCAGAAACATCGATACTTGCTGGCGTCTTGCGAAACCTCTTATAAATAATATAATGATTTCTCTTTTCATATAAAATATTTGAGGTATTAAATAATGTGATTTTGTGCAGGGTCAATCTTTGGTCCCAATTTTCACTCTAGCCCACGTAAATTTAGGCGTGACCAAAAAATACCAGATTTGCGAGTAACCTGTTTAAAAATCTTCCTGTTAGACTCCTAGCTGGTCCACACGAAGCTTGCCAAAATAGAGGTGGCTTGATGATTTGAGGTGTTTTTAAGGCAGCAGCACCCCAATTCGCTCCAGCTCCAGCATGCTTTTCTGGGTCTTAGTGATGGGAACGTCAGAGGTGCTGAGCTTTTGACATTGAAGCTGACCGCGGGCCGTTCTGGAACAATCGATTGAGACGATGTAGGTCGCGCGAAGGTGGTCTATCTTCCAGTATCTACAAAATTAGCTCCAGTATTTACAGCTCCAGTTTTTTATAATCATTGAAATTACTCAAAGCCAGATTATGAATGATATATGTCGTCTGAAGGTTGCCTCAACAGCGACCGCACATCGATCCTTCAGTGGCGGCGATCAATTCGCATTTCGCCCGCAATTCCACACATCGATACTATGGTGCGGTTTCGTCTTCTGCTGAATGCAGTCTTCTTCTCTCGTATATTTATTATAACCCATGTCACAAGCCCTTACTGACATTCAGTATATTACTACGATCTCTTTACTGTGAATGCTACAGAGCTCCCTCCGCAAGTTGATTCCCTTCGGTAACCGCGTGCTGGTCAAGCGCTTCGAGGCGGCGGCCAAGACGGCCAGTGGCATCTACCTGCCGGACGCCGAGAACAAGCAGCAGAACGAGGGTGAGGTCGTTGCCGTGGGCCCAGGTGCCCGCGCACCCGATGGAACGCTCATCCCGGCTCAGAGCGCTGTGGGCGACAAGGTTCTGCTGCCTGAGTACGGTGGCAGCTCCGTCAAGCTTGGCGACAAGGAGCTATTCCTGTTCCGCGACGAGGACATCCTCGGCAAGCTCGAGTAGATTTCTTCCTCAACTTAGACGCCTCCTGGAGGCTATTTGAGGGTATTTGACCAGCCAAGACCCGCATCAGCTTAATTGGAGTCACTTGGGACGCTAATGAGGCATCCTCCGATCCTCTTGAGATGGAGGGGATGAGGTATGCGGGATAATAAAGTATGTTAGCCCGGTTTGACATGTGTACGTTGAATTTTTGGCATGTATATTGTGGTCTACTAACCAGTCGCCAAGGAAAGAGGCTGGATACTGGGGTGTACACTGCCAGGAGTTAGTGGGGAGCTGGTTACATCAGTGGACTTGAGTTTAGGCGCTGCATTCTTGACTTGCCTTCCACCAACAAAGATGGAGACGATGTTGCGGTCGTCACCGAGGAATAGAAACTTCTGGAATGTGTGAAGCACATCGGCAGCTTCAACTGGGTCATGGGCCTCGTCGATGGGGCTGTTGGGGGCGTATGGGTCAACGACAAGCGCGTCGAAGTCCTTGTCGACCATAAAGTTGCCTACTCTATCACCGAGGCCCAGAGCCTCTGCGCTGCCGACGGTAGCAAGATGAAAAGCTTCGGCAAATGAGAGCGGCTCGTGTTGAGACTCACCAGTGTCTTCGTCGCCGGAGCTGCCATTGCCGATCGAGACGAGCTTGGACGCGATGACAGCTTGGCGAATGGCGTCCAACATGGACGGAGAGTATCCTCCAGACACGTCCGTGCCCAGTCCGACTTTGATTCCTTCTTGCAATAATCGACGCACATTTAGGACGCCACTGGAGAGGGAGAAATTGGAATTAGGACAGTGGATCACGGCCGTCTTCTTCTCACGTAGCAACTCTCGTTCACTTTTGCTGCACCAGATACAATGTGCCATATACGAGCGATCGTGCAGGAGTCCATGGTCGTCATACACTCCTGTGTACGTCTCGCTCTCTGGATGGAGACTCTTGACCCAGCTGATCTCGTCTCGGTTCTCCCCCAGGTGTGACTGCACGGGCAACTTGGGTTGGTGCTCCCTCGATATCTCGGCCAAAGCTTTCATAAGCTTCGATGTGCAGCTCGGAACGAACCTCGGCGTGATAACAGGAGTTACTAGCTCGTTTCTTTTACTCTGCACGTATAGCACAAACTCTCTCGTGTCATCAATGGACGTTTGGGTCTCTTCCTGTAGCCCAGAGGACCCATTCCGGTCCATGTTGACTTTCCCCACGTATCCACGTTGTCCAGCTTGCTCTAATACATCGGCCAGCACTTTACACGCTTCCAGATGCACTGTAGCGAAGTACGAACATGTAGTTGTGCCGCTACTGAGATGGCGTTGCACTGCCTTCTCGTACACAGCTCTAGCGTAGTCCAGATTCTGGAACTTGGATTCGTATGGGAACGTGTATGTCTCTAGCCACTGTAGCAGCGGCAGGTGCATCCCCACTCCGATAAACGAGTACTGAGGAGCATGTGCATGGCCGTCAATGAAGCCAGGAAGCAGCAGCTGCTCGCCCAAGTCCACGAGCTCGTCGAAGTGGCGCGTGACGAGTGGCGACTGGCTCAAGTCCAGCACGAACACGATCTTTCCGTGCTCATTGACGCCTACGAGTCCAGGCTGAAGAACTTGCAGCTCTCCGAGAGCTACAGAGTGCACCACGTTGGCTTTGTACGCGATAATGTGCGTCATTTGACTGGCTGCTTGCTCTATCTGTCACCTTGCACCCGAAGCTGGCAAAATGCTGAATGAATGAAGTTGCAGTTTTTCCTCACAACTATTCGCATTCAGCGACGGCGCGATGTGATTGGCTGAACAAGTCGTCTGACGTGCTTGGGGTGGGCCACATTCTTTCGTGACACACTGTAGCCATCTGCGTAAATCAGCTTCAAGCCATCGTCGATAATAATGACCGACCCGTGGCGTTCATGGGCCAACCTAGTCGACTCTAAAGTCGACAATTCCAGTCGCTGGCACTCGCGTCACGACCATGTGTTGCAAACCTCCGACCGGATCGGAGACTTCCTGGTGACGCAGCTGCGGACCGCCAGTCGCCGCTTTAAGGACGACGAAGTCATTGCTGAATGGGGTCGTGATATCCACGAGCGCCTGGCAGGTTACGAGCTAGAAAGTCGTTTGCTGGCCAAGTTGGCGAGCACTGGGAAGGTGATTCAAGAGCTGGAACGAGGAATCGAGACGATGCTGGATGTCCTGGGGATTGTCGATACGGACTTTGAGAATGAGTGGAAGATGGAGCTGCAGCGGGAGCGCAAGCAGCGAGTGGAAATGTACAGGCGTTTATTCAACAACAGAAGCCAGTTTGAGAGTGAAATGGGCGACACTGAGCAGCAACTGGAGCTGCTGACGCTGATGAAGCACGGGGTCGAGGAGTTCGGGGACGTCTTGTCGCCACTGGAGCTGGATCTGATCGCTCAAGTGTTTGATGCGTTGGTTCTTAGCTCGAACATCGTGGTGGGCGTGATTCCGGACTGGTTTGCGACAGATAAGCGCGGTTGGTCTCGTTCGGATAAAACTTTCATTGCAGGAGAAGAGTCTTGCTTGAGGCACGTGCGTACGTGGGCTCCACTCCACCATCCTCATGTTCGAAAGTTTTATGGAGCGTGCCATGTTGGTAGCCCGTACGTGATACATGAGCTGACAGTGTCACGCTACCCAAATATTGGCCCCTGGTTCTACATGTATGGCTGCTCTCTTGGCTTGAAATACGTGCATGAGCGTGGTCTCGTTCATGAGAAATTGAGTTTCGACAATCTCCAGTCGCTGTACGACTTTAAGGGGATGCTGTCTGGTCTTGGCTTGACGCGGATTGAAGGAAAATTATCCGTCGAAGCAGACGTGTGGGCCTTTGGCGGCATCATGTTTGAGTTTCTCGTGGACTTTTTCAGCCGAGACGACTCAGAACTTGAGGAGTTTAAGCGAACCCAGCGACTTCCAGAGTCTCGACCAAGCTTCTTCAACGAAGAGCAATGAAATCTGCTGCTAGGAATGTGTGAGGACGATCCCACTGAGAGAACTAGCATGATTGAAGTCGCACACAGTCTCGGATCCATTCTTAGTCAATCTGGTCAGGACACGTGGAGCGACGAGGAAGATTTTGGGTCTTGTCGACAAGCAGCAGTCGACAATGTCGATGCATACATTCTGCCAGATTCCGGTCTTACTATCAGCGACGTCCTTCAAGATGCCGGCGAATTGTGCGATCAACTGGACGACTTCGCCGCTATAAATCGCCCCGTGTACAGGCGATTGGTCGATGTGTACGACCAACTTGTTGCTGTAAGTAACGCACTGCCGTTGACATTAGTGGAGGACTTTGGGTCGATCTTGTGGCGCTTTTCCTTCGTCTTGATGCGCGATCGCCAGGCGACTACAGCTCCGTCGCCACGCTTTGTGCTGCAAACACTATTGCTAACCGCAATTACGGGCTCCACCACGACGTCGACCGCCTCATTCTCAGCACCGAATATCTCCAGAGCAACGAATCTATCCATCATTGGCAGCCCAGCTGGAAGCAAACACTGCAATGGCAACAGGAGGCTCTTTAAAAGTGTATGGACAACCCCGAGTCATTCTTGGATGGAGTACATGTAGAAGACAGCAAGACAGCGGCAATGGCGCTGCTACAGTATGAGGCTATGAGCCACACTGGAGACACGTCGCACGTCCCGAGATGGTTCATTCCTCCGCACCAGATCGAGCTGGGACAGCACCTCGCAGACGGATCTTTTGGTGCCGTGTATCTGGGTAAATGGTTCAACACGGACGAGGTAGTGAAGCAAGTGCTGACGAATCAAGCGGATAGGGAGAACCGCCGCCAGTTTTTCCACGAAGTGAACCTCTGGGCGTCTCTGAACCACGACAACCTGATTAAACTCTATGGCGCGTGTCCCGAAGGTCAGCCGTTCTTCGTCTGTGATGAAGGAACGTTGATCAGCTACAGTCAAGACCGCATACAATTCCCCACTTGGAGAGCGATCTGGGAAGCAGCAAAAGGACTGGAATATCTTCACGAACTAGGGATTGTCCATGGTGATCTCAAGGGGAATAACATACTCGTTTGCGATGGAACTGCCAAGCTAGCAGATTTTGGGTTGAGTGTCTTTGCCAAGGCTGGGGACTCTGGAGGTGCACTTGGCGCGTTTCGGTGGAAGGCTCCAGAATGCCTGGCAGGGTCAGGACCAACTCTGGCGTCGGATATTTACTCGTTTGCTATGTGCATGATCGAAGTGATCAGTGGGGATTTCCCATGGGGGAAGACTATGCAGGACGCAGCGGTGGTGGCTAATGTTGTCCAGAAGAGGAAGATGCCGCCAAGACCGAATGGGTTCACAGGCAGCCAATGGAATCTGGTCACGCGCATGTGCTCCTTCGACCCTCAAAGCAGACCCAACGCTACTGCGCTAGCGCATTTACTCTGGAAATTCGCTTGAAGTTTTAAGCTCTAAAACCCAAAGCGACGAGGACGAGGTGGCCGTCTCGTTGTCTTGGCAAAACTGGCAGGCGGGTCGGAGCGTCCAGGACCCGCCACGGTCATCCGTTGCTTCTTGTTTTGACGATTTGTCGCGAGTTTCTTTTCTAATTCCTCTTTGGCTTCCTCCTCTTTGGCATGTCGAGACGCCTCCATTTCGCTCTCCATCTCTGCCGCTTCCTCCTTTTCCTTCATCCGTTTGAGTAATCGTGACTGGAACGACTCCTTCACACTGAAAAACATGGGGCCGAGCTCTGCCAGCCACTCTCCTTCCACTGCTGTAGCACACTGCATGTACTCTTTGCTGGTGTAGATAAGTTCATGGTACACGACAAAGTCTGGCGTGTATCCGAGGCCAAACAACGCAGCACTAGGATGCAAATTACAAGGCATACCCGTCAGCATGTTGACATACTCGCCGATGCCCTTGATCTGCGCCGAATTGTAGAAATACGCCGAGCAAATGGCCTTCCGGACCACATCCCAACGTCCTTCACACGATCGGAGACGCACACGTTGCTGCTTCATAATATCGGCCAGCTGCTCCCGCACCTCACGCGCTTTTCGCAGGCCTTTGGCATGGATGAAGTGATTAGAACACCATTGAGCGGAGTGGCGGTTGGACTCCCATTGTTGATACACATTCAGCAGGGTAAGGTGGTCACTTTCTGGGACAAAGAACTTCTCTCGTGCAGCGTCACTCTCTTCCTCTCGATCTTTAGGACGGAAGAACACACTGGGGACTGACAGCATACTCACCACGATGAGAACCTCAGTTGTACACCCCAGTTGTTCACTGAACAGCAACATCTTCGCTAGGGGCGGATCCAGAGGGAACACGACCATCTTCTTGCCGATTTCAGTCAGCTCGCCCGTATTATCCAACGCTCCCAACACCCACAACTGGTACATGGAGTTGGTGATGTTGTCTTGTGGCGGTGGATCCATGAAATCGAACTCTAGTAAGTTAGAAACGCCCAGAGACTTGAGCAGTAGCACAACGTAGCCCAGATTCGTTCGCTGGATCTCTGGAATCTGCGCTTCCAGGAGCTCGTTGACGAACTGTCGCTGAGTGTACAGGCGATAAGCTACACCAGGACCAGTGCGACCAGCTCGACCGGCACGTTGATTGGCGTTCTGCTGACTGATGGGACTCACCTGCAGCGCGTCCATGCCGATCTTGGGGTTGTACACTTTCACCTTGCAGAATCCCGTGTCGATGACGTACTTGATGCCGTCCACCGTCAACGACGTCTCGGCGATATTCGTCGATACGATACACTTGCGGATGTCTGAAGCGTCAAAGATCTTGGCCTGCAGATCAGCTGGAAGCTGGGAGTACATGGGCAGCACCATAAGTGGAGGCGCGCCGTCCAGCTTCCCCATCCGATCTGCCAGCACGTAGCACGTCGCTTCAATGTCTTCTTGGCCTGTCATGAACACCAGGACGTCCCCTGGAGGGTGCGATAAGTGGATCTGCATCACTTGCTTCACTGCTGCATCGACGTAGTCTTCGCTCGAAGACTTGGCATAGCGTGTATCCACATGGAACGTCCGACCAGGGATCGTGAACATGGGTACACCGCCAAAGAAGTTGGCGAACTTGTCTGCATCTAACGTCGCAGACGTCACGATCAGTTTGAAGTCGCTGCGACGTTGAACCACCTTACGTAAGATACCGAAGAGCACGTCAGTGTTCAACGCTCGTTCGTGGGCCTCGTCCATGATCACACACGAGTACGAGTCAAGGTCGGACTCACGCAGAGACTCGCGTAACAACACTCCTTCCGTCATGTACTTGATGATGGTCTTGTCCGACGTCAGGTCCTCGAATCGAATAGCGTAACCCACTTCTTCCCCGAGCGTAACCTCCATCTCTTCACTGACACGCTGAGCCACCGACATGGCAGCCACACGACGTGGTTGGGTACATCCGATCATGCCAAACTCCGAGTATCCTTCTTCGTGCAAGTACTGAGTCAGTTGCGTGGTCTTCCCGGACCCCGTTTCTCCGACAATCACGACGATCTGATTCTCTCGAATCACCTGCAGCAACTCCTCTCGACACTGGAAAATAGGCAGAAACTCTCGTTGCTGACGCAGCGTACGCGTCTTGGCGAACACACTGACCGCCTTTTGCTTCTTCAGATGGGTGGAGAACTGCGAGTCCTGCTTGTAATTCTCCGATTCTTCTTCTCGTTTCTCCTCTTCCTCGTCATCCGAGCCAGCGTCTTTCTTGATGCCAATAGCGTCGCCCATCCGTGACCCTCCGACCTCCCAGAACCTTTTCCTCATCTTGTTGCGCTCTCTTTGCTCCCTCACTTCACGCAGCAACTCGCTCCCTTTCCTCGCACACACCGCCATGTCCGACGTCGGGTCTTTCACAGTCGCCACCATCTCCACTTGCGTCGTGAACGCCACCCGTCCGTCCAGAAAAGGGGGTTTGGTGCTGTGGACCATAATTTGCACTCTCGAGTCCAGTTCGTCGTCGAAATCAGTGTCAACTCGTCCAGACGCCACGACGCCGCTGGTCAGCAGTCGGTTCTTCTCCCACGCCTCTTGATCAGCTGACAAAGCCGAGGCTCTGGCTGACATGCCCTTGAGTTTGTTGTCTCCTCTCGCTCGCGTTTGCTCCAGCTGCTGCTCCAGAGCCTTGAACTTCTCCTCACTACCAAGAAACACGTGGCCCTCGTGAGCCTCGATGCCCCCAGCATCGTCATTTAAGTAGAACTCTCGGTCGAACTCCTCCTCCACTTGGTCGTCGTACTGCTTTTTGGGGGCTTCCAGCTTCTCTCTGCGTCTATAGGGGTCTCTAGTAGGCGGTGGAGAGCCTCTCTGTCCTCTCCACGTACTGGCACTGCTACTTCTGCTGCGACGGTCGTCTCGTTCCCTTCTAGAGCTGCTGGATCTGCTATATCTGCTTCCCTCACTTGTTTTGGGCGTCTCTGACTGATCCGAAAGATCCCGAGGATTCTCTACACTCCGAAGACGTTCCGGAGCGTCCCATTCACTGGCGTTGAGCCCTGTACCGCGTTCTGAGCGCGACAGTGATGAGGTACTGGAAGTCTCCAACGGAGGTCGGTTTGAAGCTGTCTTGGAGCTTTCCGAGCTGCGAATTCCACCTTCTTGGCGCTTTTCGGCTGCTAGTTTGTCTAGACCTAATAGAGACACGCGAGAGCGGCTGGAATCTCGCTCAGAGTCGCGAGATTGAAGCGCGAACAGTCCATCCGGGTTGCGCCGAGAGTGCTGGGAACAGCGCGACAGGTTGGAGTTTCTACTGAAGCTGCGACTACGACGACGGCGCAGTTGAGACCTACTGCGACTTCGGCTGCGTCTTTGGGAGGAGCGGGGCGAGCGGCGGCGCTCTCGTGAGCAAGAGCGACTGCGCCGAGAATCGTCTCTGGAACGAGCCATTGACGTTTACAGTTTCTATTCGCTTTCTATAGAAAAGAAGTATTAAAAAATAGATACAGCTGGGGCAGCATTAATACTTGTAAAATCAACTTGTACTGCTACTGCTATTAATATTTGGCCCTGGTTTAAAATGGAGAGGAGGGAGAGCATGTTCAGTGCCGAAAAATTGAAGCAATTTGACTGGCTAATAGCTACGACGCTCCTGTATATGTTTTGCTCGCTCGTGTTCCAGGATGGAGTTTTCCAGAACACCAACCAGAGGTGTTCTAGCGAGGGAAGAATTGTGCTAGAAAAAAAGAAAGCAGTTTTTTGCCCGGCAAAACTGGTCGCTTGTAATGGGCCCAACTCCAATTACATAAGTAGGTAGATATTTCTTTAGTTATTACATAAGTAGGTAAAGTGGCACACGGGTAGCGTGTGCCAAGGTGTCATCATCTGATTGGTTGATAGTGAGGCGCCAGACTCACTTATTGACCAATCAGATATAGACATGTGTTTGAGTGGTTCACACGAGGCCAGGGGTAGCCGCCCTGGTCCTAAATAAATCGGAATTGAATTTGACACAAGCCTAAGACTTGGTTTTACCATTGCGAGCTTCCTCCACACTATTGTGTAAGCTAGTGACGGTATCTCTTACCCCGTTACACCTGGTAGCACCTCGTAGTCCTTCCAACGACCAAGTCTACGATGAGCCAAGTCCAGATCTCCGGGGCGACCCTGGAGCGTGCTGCATTTCCCCATCTCACTCGCGTGGAGTGGGAAGCGCTTCACCGCCTCGTGGCGGTGTCCGGAGACGCTGTTGTCGCATCGCTGCTGAGCTCAGCGACGCCCGACCAGCAACGTTTTGCAGCACAAGAGTTCATGGAGCGCGAGCTCGCCGATGCGAATCGGCGGGTGTCAACTCCCTCGCGCCCATCTTAGAATGACGTCGTCAAGATGGAGACGTCTACGTATTCTGGCGCCGGTGAAAACCGGCTCCCGCTAAACCGGTGGTTCCGCGAGATCGACATCGCTATCGCCTCGCGACGCATCGAGGCGTCATCCGCCAAGATGAACTTCCTCCTCTCCCGGTTAACCGGGAAGGCCAAAGAATGGGCCCTCGGGAAGCTGGTTGTCGACCCCGAGGCTTTCCCGACTCTGGAAACTCTCCAGAACGACTTGCGCCTCGCGTTCGAGCCTTCGCAAGATGAGTCTCGCGTTCGCGCAGAGTTCTTCGCTCTTCGGAAAGGGCAGATGTCCATGCGTGATTAAGTCCAGAAGACGCGACATCTGGCGTCATGCATCGTGACCAAGCCAATCGACATGGCCTCGCAAGTCCACGTATTTGTGTTCGGCATGCGCGAGGGTATGACCCGCTACTGCCTCACCAGAGCTGAGCTCTCCTCTCTCGAGGAGGCGTTTGCACTCGCGATTCGCGAGGATTACATGGTCGCTACATCGTACGCCGCAGCCATACCTGAGGAAGCCCGAGAGTCTACCCCCGAGCCCATGGAGATCAACGCCATCAACGCGTCGAGCGATCAACGTCGCGGGTCCTACCGCGGCAGCGCTGGGCGAAGCAATCGTTCCCTCATTTGCTTCCGCTGTGGGAAGAAGGGTCACCGCGCGGCGGAGTGCCGCGCGCCAGCTCCCGTCGTCTCTCACGTCGATGCGGAACACTCCTCGGTCGCTCATTCAATAAACGACCAGGACCAGTAGGTGCGGGGCGCCCTACTGGCTTTAACGAAGGACCGGGCCCTCCGGTAGCAGCCCAACCTTCGAGCCCTCCCGTGCTCCAAGCACACACCAATGCCACCACTACGCCGGGCGACTCGAGACTGATCATTGTCAGCCTCCACGTCACCGGTGCCCGGCGACCACTGCGCGCGCTCCTTGACTCAGGAGCGACCAACAACTTCTTTCGCGCGTCGTGTTTGTCGGTACTACCCAAGAACGTCCGCGTCCGGAATGGTCCGGGCGAGATCCAAGTCAAACTCGCCGCGTTGCGCGGCGTGACGTGTCCTTGTCGTACACGTTCGACGGCTTCCGTAGCAAGGACGACTTCTTGGTGATCGAGATGAACTACGCGTTTGACTGCATCCTGGGCATCCCTTGGCTTGCGCGATATCAGCCAGAGATTGACTGGCTGGCCCAATCAGTCAAGCGACGACGTGGATTCGACGTAAGTGAGGTCTTCACACACCTCTTGGTGGCGCCAAGAGACTGGCCCCACGTCAAAGTCGTGGACAAAACAGCAACGACACAGGCAGTGCACAGAGCGAGCGATGGCCCTCTCTGCATGGCTTGTGCTACGTTGTTGGACGACGAGCCCTCGCGGTTCCGCGAGGTAGATGATGAAGTGGTTGAGCAGAGGCTCCCACAGTACAAGACGGTGGTCGAGCAGGGGCTCCCACTACACGAGATGATGGTCGAGCAGGGACTCCCACAATACGAGACAGTGGTCGAGCAGGGGCTCCCACACAACGAGACGGCGGTAGAGCAGGGGCTCCCGCGTGTTCCCGGCCCGGTCGAGTACGGTCTCCCGCGCCTAGAGGAGGGTGATGCATCGTCGAGTAGCAGTGCGTCAGACTCGAGCGTAAGCTCGAGGAAGACGAAGAAGAAGTCGAAGAGACGACGCCTGAAACCTCGTCGAGACTCCACGACCAGCGATAGCCCGCCGGTGGAATCGGTCAGCGCGCTGGAGTACGTGGAAGGAGGCCCGAATCGGTCGCGCAGCATCGCAATCGCGAGTCCGCCGCGCGAAGCGGCGGCGATCACACGCCTTCCAGGCTTGTCCTGAAAGAACTTTGTTCGGGACCTCAAGGCTGGAGACGTCGAGCAAGTATGCTTGGTCACCGAGGCAGTCTCGGTGGATGAGTCAGCAAATGCGGTCGCAACGGATAGTGAACGCCCACGTCCGCTAGGTGCTGAACCTAAGTCTGCTCGAGAGGAACGATTCCAAACGCAGTCCTGGGAGGCTTTGGGGGGGTCAGCGAATCCCGTATACGACACCGCCTGTGAGTACGCCGACGTCTTTCCGGATGAGATCCCCGCCGAGCTACCGGCGGATCGCGGGGTTCAGCATGAGATCGACCTCGCGCCAGGTACGAAGCACTGCGTCACCAGACAATGGCCACTTCCTCGTGATCAAGTGAAAGCGATCGATGACTTCTTCGAGGGCCGCCGAAAGGCGGGTCACGTACGTGAGAGTACCTCTCCCCATTCCAGTCCAACGTTCTGTGTGAAGAAAGCTACAGGGGGATGGCGTATTGTTCACGCATTCAACAAGTTGAATGATGCCACCATCCCCGCGCAGACTCCGATTCCTCGGAAGGACACGGTACTGGACTCCATGGCTGGCAGCGTCATCTACAGCGCCATCGACCTGACCGATGGATTCTATCAGATCCTGATGAGAGCATCTGATGTGCCTCTCACCGCCGTAAGTACACCGAGCGGGATGCTCTGGTAGTGGCTCGTGATGCCACAGGGTCTCAAGAACGCGCCTGCCACCTTCAATCGCATGGTCTCCCATGTGCTTCGCCCGCTTCGAGACTTCGCGCCGAGCTACTCCGACGACATCTTCGTGCACAGCCGAGCTGAGGGCAACCTCAGTGCCGTGGAAGTACATCTGAAACACCTGAGACAAGTCTTCCAGGTGATGCGAGAGAACAAGCTCTACGCAAACCTGAAGAAATGTGTCTTCTGCGCACCGGAGATTCCGGTGTTGGGATGCTACGTGAGCAAGAACGGTGTGCGCGCAGATCCCGAGAAGGTATCGTCTATCTGTGCTTGGCCAACGCCGACAAGCCCCACTGAGTTGCGTCAGTGGCTTGGCATGGCCAATTACTTGCACAAGTACACGAAGAATTACGCTGGGTTGATCCATCCGCTGTCCTCGCTGCTGAAGAAAGACGTGATCTAGGAGTGGAAATCGGACCACCAAGCTGCATTCGACTCGGTGAAGAAGAGCTTGGCGTCTGCGCCGATCCTGAAGCTTGCTGATGACTCAAAGCCATTCCACGTCGTCTGCGACGCGAGCGATTTTGCCATCGGCTGTGCGCTGATGCAGTTCGATGATGACGAACACGAGCGCGTTATCAGCTATCAGTCGCGCCAACTGAAGCCAGCCGAGAAGAATTACCCAGTCCACGACAAGGAGCTCCTGGCAATGCAGTACGCTCTGATCAAATTCAGAGTGTACTTGCTCGGTGAACAGCCGTTTGCGGTTTACACTGATCACGCATCGCTGCGGACAGCGATGAAGATCCCTCACTTGTCGCAACGGATGGCCCGTCGGCTGTCCTTCTTCTTCGAGTACAACTTCGTTGTTCACTACAAGCCGGGCAAGAATAACATTCTCGCCGACGCGCTGTCTCGGCGTCCGGACTACGATCTCCGTGAAGCGCTAGGACATCAGCGGGCTGATGAGGTCGACGACGAATGTGCGGTCTGCGTGTCGTCAGGCATCAACTTGACGTTGACCACGCCCACGCTCCCGCTGGGCGACGAGATTGCTACAGCGTACGATGATGACCCTATATACGGTGCCATCATGAAACACCTGCGTGCTCCTAGTAGTGACACGCTAAGTGCCCTGTCAAAGCCCACGCAAAATCAGATCGATCGATATCGACTAGAACATGTACAAGTGGGTACGCAAGTGGGTCCGCACATTGGAAACTTGCCAGCGAGTCAAACCGTCTTCGACGTCTCAGGCCCCATTGCGCCCTCTTCCGGTCGCCACGGAAGCCTGACGCTCCATTTCGATGGACTTCATCTTCGGTCTTCCGCCCGATACAGCCGGGCGCACGGGTGTACTTGTGTTCGTCGATCGTTTCAGCAAGATGGTCCATCTCGTTCAGGTGGCAGCCTCAATCACCGCTGAAGAGTCCGCGGCCCACTTCGTCGACGTGATTTTTCGTCACCACGGTCTGCGTGAGTCCATCGTGTCCGACCGCGACCCGCGGTTTACATCCGCGTTCTGGTCACGCCTCTTCGAGCTCTTGGGAGCCAAATTG